TGAATGAATGAATGAATGAATGAATGAATGAATGAATGAATGAATGAATGAACGTGCATTATTTCTAGGAAACGGTGACTGAATCATTTCATTAGTTGAAAACTTAGTTTTAGGTGGAAAGGAAAGAAATTGACGACATGGTTAGTTAATCTTTTTAGTGGTCTCTATGTATGTTAATGTTACCCAGAAAATCAATAAGTGAACTAACAAGTTGTCAAGTGAACGAATTAAATCAAAATAAAAATCTTTTCTGCCGTCGCATTTATACACTGCTACAGTCGCTGAAATGATGGTTCAATTATATATTTAGTAAATTAAATTATTAGCAAGTTGGTCTTTAGCTATATACATTGTTTTTTCATTCCGTTTACAACCCTTTAAACATGTTTGTTTCTTCGTCATTGCACCTTTACAGAAAAAACAAAAACAACAACAACAACACAACAATACTATAAAGAAGGACAGTAAAGGATTAGTTTAAAAAACACCTACACACAAACACACACACAAGCACACACACACACAACAAAATCTTTAGAATTTTCACTTTTTGCGTTTAGTCTTTGATAACAAGAGGAAAATCAATGCTTCCAGTGTAATCTTTAGTGCTGTAATAGCGTCAAAGAATTATTAAATTTTAATGAAAGACATTGTAGGAACATAGATGTTTTTTGTGTTTTTTTTGTATATTGTCGGGAAAAATGCGTATCATACAGTTGTATGAAAAAATAATAAGCCTTGATAATATTGAAATCAATCTTACAAGAACCTGAGTTCTAAAAACAGCAAATTATGAAATAGATCTATTCAAGGAAACAAAAATATCGTTAGCTTTGAGTCTTTTCATTACATTAAATAGATCTATACCCCACTTTTTTTTCTAGCTTACAATAGGCTAAAAGAAATTAGTATTAAGAATATTCATTTTATTATCTTGGATAGGTCTTGGTTATTAAATGATAATTAGATCTAGTATTATCTATTTAAAAAAAAGAAAAGAAAACTACATTTTTATTATCATTTGCCGTAGTAATAAATGTTAGAACATCAAGATTTCACTGAACTAGTACTTGCATTTTCTGGGGTTTTTTTTTTTTCCCCAAAAGGTTTCTGTTTTGTTTGTGCTCTTTGTTTAATTGCATTACGAGATGCACTGATTCTTAAAACACTATGTTCGTTGAGAGGTTAAATATCACTATTAAACTGATTTTGTTCTCATCTCTGACAATAGTCTCATTATTGCAGAGTAATTTAGTGCCTGTAGAGTTACATATTCCAGTAATATTGATGTGTCAATGAACTATTCTCAATGAAAAGTAATTTAGCGTCATCAGATGAATATAAAAGTAAAAACTTAACCATGAGAACATTTAAAAAAAAGAGCGGGTAGAGCTTATTCCAAATCTTGTTGTTAAAATCAATTACATGTATAATATGCATTTAAGAAAATTAGATAATTTTATTTGCTGCTACACGTGTGTGTGTGTGT